GGCATTCCTTTCGCCACCCCACCAAACGACATTTCCCTAGTCCAAAGCGAGACCTGGGATCGACTGAAGAGATCGGTTTGAAAAAGGCTGTTGTAAAGGTAAACGAACCGACCTTGAGCAGTACGAAAACCTCGAAGCCAGCCATGAGGAGCATCGTGGCTGCGCTGAGGGCCGCCAGAGGAAGAGCCCAGGGTCGTTGTCTGAGCAAGGACCTCGAGTGCGGTCGAGTATCGGCCTCGATCTCCTGGCTCTTCTTTCCAGGAGGCATTTTGAACACCGAAACCGTCCTGTTAGGTGCTGGCACGCTGATGACACTCGCCACGCTGGCCAGGCCGTTCTTGTCCATCGCTACGTCGCTAGGTACCAGGAAGAATTCTGTCGACAACTCGTAGTCCTTCGAGGCTTGGGCTCGTATCGCCGTAGTTCCGGTTGGACCGAGCCAGCTCGCTGTGGCCCACGACAGGATAATCGGGCTCAGTCTCATCGCGTCATCCGTGCTTCCGTGGTTATCTCTGTATGGCTTTTTCTCCAAGTTTCTGTAGCGTCACCGGGACCTGCACCGTTTCCTGCGTAAGCGCATCCTTATGCGCCCGCCTCCCTTTCCACCGAGGAATGGCACACCTGTAATTACGATTCGCCCCGGTAATTAAAGCTTGTCGGTTCATTTGATTAGATTTAGTGGCCGGGTAAGAGAGCGAACACCAGCGCTCTTAATGAGCAACTCCATGGAAATCGTACTAACGCGTGTCGCTAATAGCCCGGCCGACAAATCGATGCAGAAATTGTTATTTTAAGCGACAATTTGCTTTTATTAACGGATTACGCGTGAAATGTTCATTGCTCAACATTCCTCTTCCTTTGTTACTTTGAAATTTCTCTCGGAGTTTATTGTTTTATAAATTACACGCTACTATACTGTTATAAGGCTACATCGTTCTGCTGTTTTGTTGCTATTCTGACGTGTCACTATACCAACACGGTGTTACACTAGATACATCGCTACTATACTATTGCAGTATTATTGTTACTGTGCCACCACTGTGTTATTCTACTGCTACGTCGCTACTATAATATTATACTATTGTGTCCCTTGTTAAGACATACTATAACAATGTGCTACTGCGTTACTATGGTTACTGTGCTGTTGAATTAGTGTGGTACTATTTGGTCGTGTTACAATGTTACTATGAAATTATACTACTATACTAACATATTACTATACTACTATACTGTTATGCTAATACGACGTTATATGGTCGTATTTCTATATTTATTTATTTACAAATCGACTTAGACCTTTCATCGGATTTTGCGTGAAATTTGTGAAATTTGCGTGAAATGAAAACCGAAAGTCGGTGATTTAATGATAATTTCTCCAACATAAATTAGTCACGTCCGATTTAAATTGCACTTGAAATTGAAGAATTTCTTTTCACAAGTTCAAACGTTAGGCGAGCGCACGCGATAATAAGCCGTAGAAATAACATTCGTATTATAAATAAATGCATGTGGAAATTGCAACAGACTGTGACTAATCGTATACTCGACGATTAATACGTACGTAAAATTTCACAAATTTCGCCAGTAGGAGCTGGAGTTGTCTAGAATTACGCTATACCGTGCTACGATTTCAATTAAAAGAAACGAACATTCGCTATTATCCGCGAACATTCTCTGAAATAATTTCAGTACTAACAAAACCAAATAACCCACAGCCTATTCTCTGTGAGAGCCAAGCATGACCAGTCCGCAGGCATTCACGGAGTCTAACACCATTAATTATTATGAACAGGGTCAGCCGTAAGTAGAGTGAAGCATGGACGGAGTAAAACCGGAGTAAAACCGTAAAAACAGGTATCATGGTGCACAGTACTATAATCGATTTAGCATTGAATTATACGAATATTAACTATGACCTCATATTTAATCGAGATAATAAGTGAACCTTTTTTAAGTGTCGATCATTGTCTGTCTTCGATATCTCCACGATATTGCTTGCCACACATTGCTCTCTCCTGTCGATCCCTTCCAACAACGATATCTTATTTCTTTTCCTTCAATTACAAAACACTATCAACGTTGTACAGCAGTGAAACACAACCGCGAGGTAGACTCAACAAGTCCCCTTCTATCCTTCAGGAGAACGCTTATTCGCCCCGAATAATTCGACGCAACGAAGGTCAACGAACACTATGCAAGCTGTTCCAAGATCTTCGATACTAAATCAAATTTTCTGTCAGAGCATGGATCAGTTCTCTGATGGTCTAAGTCAGTGGAGCGGCCACGAAGCGCGCGTTGTGAGAGCCAAACTCCGACTAAGCCAACAAGCATTCTCGAGGGAGAAACTGGAAGCAGACTGGAGTTCCGTTCTGGAGGTGAAGCCTATCCGTTACGGAGGAGCCAGGGAGATGGTGATGACGATGCTGAGGTGGTAGTGGCATACAACAGGAGCGGATCCACGCAAACCTTCCCGATAGAGTTTTCTTTTTCTATTCCACAGAACAAATTGCCAAACGTTCGCTTTTTCTCCCAATAGCAATAACCATAGTTTCGAAATTGATCAACCAATTGTCTAAGTGGTAAAACATTTTAGGCAACATCCATAGCTAAATAGCTAAATCCTTATCTACATATTATAGAATTTCATCACGTGTCTATCTTCGTGACCAATGAAGCTTCGCAACTAGATTAAACATAGGTATATCTATTTTTGTAGAAGACAGTCTTCGATTCGTGTCAAGGAACGTGTCCAAAATGAAGATATATTCCACGAAATGTGATTAAGGAAGGGAATATTGATCAGTTGATCGAATATTGATGATCGAATTCTCGCAAAATTGTACAGAGAAAGACAAAAATTGTAAGAAAGACATGGGAAGATCTATTCGAAGAGATACAGAGACAGTTTCGTCGAATTTCTTAGAGAAATGTACAAAAGGAAAAATCGTAGAAAACGAAGCAAGGAGAGTAACAGACAAGACAACGTAATCGAACGGAGAATTTAGGAGCCAGAAGAGGGACATTGTCTGGCACAAGAGTGATGGTGGGAGAGAAAAAAATTCCGAGAGATCATTCCGACGAACGAAGCGACTCGGCTGTGATGAATTCTAATTAGCTGGCCATTATCGCGAACAGGTCTATTTTATCGAGACGGCTTCGATCTGATCCGCCCCTGACAAGATGAGAGAAGGAGCAGTGTGGAATAAAAGAGAAATAGAGAGAAGGATCGGAATGAAAGAAAGAAAAAGAAAGAAGCTGGTCCTCCGACGTCGAGGACCGGACCCAGCGACGCATTTACATATCGTACGTGTAATAACCTCGAAAAAGTTTTAACAATGGTCCCGGGGTTCGCCACGGCTGCGAAGAAGAGGGAAAAGCCAGGGAGAACGGCCGTTGGAGGATGAGGAATGATCGAAGAAACGTTTAACGAGTTTCTTTTCGATTTTTAAGACGATGAAAAATGAGGAATATTCTCACGGAAAGTTCCACATTTTTTTCATTACGAAACCAGTTACAGACGGAGTCGTGGCAATTTTGTTCGATCGTGGAGAATAATACGAGCAGGTCCTCTCTCCAGGTGTACGAAGTGATATCTCGAGGATGGCTTTCCCGATACGACACGTAATAAAATTCCTGAGGGACGTGCGTGTGCGCTATGGCGGCGGGCAATAATTTACCTTGGCCCAGAAATCGCTTACAAAATTATTCGTCGCCCGGTGAAAGTGATAACACGAGAATGTTTCCTTTCTGGATCTAAGCAGCGCGTCTTGTTTGAGCTCGAGCTAGATAACATGTAGGCGGCCGGGCGTCACAGATCAATGATCGTTTGCGCACATACGACACGTTCGGTAGCCGTACACGATCAATCCCTTGCAACCAGGGTTCGATGAACTCTGCCTCGAAAACCGGACAAACCGTTTGCACGTTTGGTTCGGGTGGCTTAACTTTCTTGATAGTAAGTCCGCACGCGTCATACGTTTCTTGAATTCCTGAAAACCGTGTTTTTCAAGCTTAGAGTATGTACGATCGGAATGCTCGGATTTGAACCAGCCTAACACCATATCTCTCACCCTTTTCGGTACCAAAGTGTACCCCAGGGACGACGTGTCCTCGCCATTGTTAATTTCGTTTAATTCCATCTTGGGCATCCCGGTGATCCGTGTGCGATGGTTAACGCAGAAGTAGGCATCCAGATTTTCGATACTGCAAGAATATACGTGCAATATAATATAACGTAATAAGAAAATAATAGTAAAAATAATATAGTAAGATGATAATAAGTATAATATAGTAAAGTAACGATGAAAGTAGTATAATAAAGCAATATTAAAGGTAAGGTAATAAAGTAATGATAAAAATCATAATGTCTAATTTGTAATTTTGTAAAGCTTGTATAGTAGTTTTTATAATATCGGGATTGCCCTGTTCGTATCGATGTTGCATTAATATACAATTTCGCGCATGTATGTGATCAATCGTGAGGCAATCTTTTGTTTTTTTTATTTCATTTAAAGATTTTTCATGATCCACATGTGTACGCACTTTTTTTACGTGTTTCGCAATAGCGCTACCGACAAACCGGCTTCAACAGGAAACATAAATATTAAACTCACCGAATTTGGTACGAACTTTTGCAGGCTGCTTACGAAGACGGTTTTTCATCCTTTATTTTAAGTTTGGACATGCTTAACATCCTCCTCATTATTCGAAGCAAACATCAGCCGAAGACATGATGGATTTACGATACAATCTGCGAAGAAAGGACTTATTTCATTGAGATGAAATTATATTAAACTATACAGGATGTGTCAATAATGAGCGATCCCCGGGAATATCGTAAAGTAAATTTCATTTCCTGCCCGATGTCCGGTAATTATGCTGTCTAGACAAGATTTAGTAATTTCGTGTCCCCGTAAATTATATTTAATTCCTCCACGAGTAAACTAGTTACCTTGTTTGGCCCAGAAATCGCTTTTACGCCGATAAATTGCGGATAACGATTGACAGAAATGTCATTCGTGATTATCCAAACTAAATAATCTATAATAAAATACACGAGAAAGGAGTATCGAATATTTACGACGAAATTTCTAATCGATGTAACTTTCGTGTAAATAAATCTATCAATTTTCCTCCTTTAGATGAGTTTCACCGAATTCTGACGTTAATATCTGGATATAACTATTTATCTGGATAACGACATATTGAAAATTTCTCACACGATATTATGTTTCCAAACTAGCCAATATTAGCCATATTATCCAAACTAAATAATCTATAATAAAATACACGAGAAAGGAGTGTCGAATATCTACGACGAAATTTCTAATCGATGTAACTTTCGTATAAATAAATCTATCAATTTTCCTCCTTTATATGAGTTTCACCGAATGCTGACGTTAATATTTAGATATAGCTATTTATCTGGATAACGAGCTATTACAAATTTCTCATACGATATTATGTTTCCGCTATTACTATAAATGCGCTTGTCTGCACGTGGTGCCTATCTTTCTTGTTCGATATTAACGCTAGAATTACCCACTTGTAACGAAGAGCTAAATATACTATACAC